GCGTGCGTGCGTGCGTGTGTGTGTGAGTGAGTGAGTGTGTGTGTGAGAGTGTGTGTGAATATTTGTGTGAGTGTGTGTGTGTGTGTGTGTATGTGTGTGTGTGAGTGAGTGTGTGTGTGTGAGAGTGTGTGTGAGTGTGTGTGTGTGTGTGAGTGAGTGTGTGTGTGTGTGTGTGTGAGTGAGTGAGTGAGTGAGTGCGTGCGTGCGTGCGTGTGTGTGTGAGGGAGTGAGTGTGTGTGTGAGAGTGTGTGTGAATATTTGTGTGAGTGTGTGTGTGTGTGTGTGTATGTGTGTGTGTGAGTGAGTGTGTGTGTGTGAGAGTGTGTGTGAGTGTGTGTGTGTGTGTGAGTGAGTGTGTGTGTGTGTGTGTGTGAGTGAGTGAGTGAGTGAGTGCGTGCGTGCGTGCGTGTGTGTGTGAGGGAGTGAGTGTGTGTGTGAGAGTGTGTGTGAATATTTGTGTGAGTGTGTGTGTGTGTGTGTGTATGTGTGTGTGTGAGTGAGTGTGTGTGTGTGAGAGTGTGTGTGAGTGTGTGTGTGTGTGTGAGTGAGTGTGTGTGTGTGTGTGTTGTGTGTTGTGTGTTTCTCACCACACAGCCGTAGGATCTTGCGGTCGAGCTCTCTGTAGTCCTCTGCCTGTGCTCTGGCTTTGGGCTCCGCTGGTGCATTGTGGGATTGAGTGTGTGGCCGTTTGGAGCATCTCTGAATGTCTCTGACTCGCTTACAGGCCACGGTGAGCTGACGACACACACACACACACAATATAAACAGTGTCACATGCACATGTAGTAATGTTTATCTAGAAAGTGTAAATCTATGTAAAATCACAGCCGTGTTGATATAGAGCGATGGCTAACGAGTGTGATATTGCGTTTATGCAACAATTCGATGGAACCAGTGTGTAAATAAATAAGAAACAACCATTGAGTGTCTTAAAAACATTCTGTGTGCAGAACTACTTTCTTCCGCCACAAATCCAAATCTCTAGCTGACCGTTTAATAGTCAGGGTTGGGGAGTAACTAGTTACATGTAACAAAATTACGTAATTTGATGAAACTTTAGTTGCAAGAGTTTTATTTTCTATTGGGTTTATGTATAGGCATTGTTCAGGGCATTGTTAGAGATACCAGTGTTTCTTGTCAATTATAATAATTCAAGTGATTTCTGAAAGTCTGACAGTGTTGAGTGCTACTGTAAGTTTAACCCTGCTTGGTTTACATTTTTGAAAATGATTAACAGTCGAAAACATTCAATATTTAGAAAAGTAATCAAATGTAATCAGTTGCACTACTTTAATAAATTAACTGAAATAGCTACACTACTATTACATTTTAGATAGGGTAACTTGTAATCTGTAATCTATTACATTTCCAAAGTAACCTTCCCAGCACTGTTAGCTGAGATTGTAGTTTGATTTTGCTTTCCTTCACTTTGTCAAGCTTGTCGTGTATGTATGGAAAATCTAAAAAATCTAAAAATAAATTATATATGAATATAATATTAAGCAAATAAATAATTAAATAACATTTTGTGAATCTTATTCTTTGGAATGAATGAATGGATGAATGAATGTTTCATATTTCAGTGGGAAGCAAATCTTATTTTAGGAAAATTAATAAAATAATATATTAGATTAATATAATGTCAATGTAATATATATATATATATATATATATATATATAAAATAAATTGAAATATATTGTTTCTGTTTATAAAGCTCTGAATCTTCTTTCTCTTTGCTCTTGATTTTGCTCTCATCATAACATACTTTTTAAGTGTCTGATATAAAATAATATAATAATAAATATATATATATATATATATATATATATATATATATAAAATAAATTGAAATATATTGTTTCTGTTTATAAAGCTCTGAATCTTCTTTCTCTTTGCTCTTGATTTTGCTCTCATCATAACATACTTTTTAAGTGTCTGATATAAAATAAAATAATAATAAAAATTAAGTAAATTATAATAAATAAATTATAAAAAAGTATTTTACAGTAGTGACAATAACTGTGATTTAATAGTAAATTTAAGTAAGGGAGAAACTCTGTGTGTGTGTGTATGTGTGTGAGTGAGAGAGTGAGTGTGTGTGTGTGTGTGTGTGTGTGAGAGTGAGTGTGTGTGTGTGTGAGAGCGAGTGTGTGTGTGTGTGTGTGTGTGTGTGAGAGTGAGTGTGTGTGTGTGTGTGAGTGTGGGTGTGTGTGTGTGTGTGTGTGTGTGTGTGTGTGCGTGAGAGTGAGTGTGTGTGTGTGTGTGTGTCTTACATGTTTCTCCAGGATGTTGAGGTTTTGTTCATCTTGTTCTGTCAGTGGTTTACAGCAGAGCTGTTGAGAAAGCGACAGACACCACAAGTCAAAGAAATCACACAATTCATTACATCCTTCAGCAAACCACCTGCTCTGTTTCTGCCAGCTCTCTCTCCCTCTCTCTCTGGGGAAACGCTTCATTTACTTTAGGGGTCACACTGAGACCTTTGACCCTGCGTCCGTCTGCAAGAGTCCCAGAGAGACACTCGACACACACCTCTCCCGCGAGACACGCTACTGATCTAATAGAGCGGATACTAAAACACTGACATGAAGTCAAACAGCAGCTCTGATCCACATACTAGAGAGCGTTTGCTGTTTAATGAAGGAAATCAATACCTTCATTCATCAGTGATGCACTACATTCATCAAAAGTGACAGTAAAGACATTTATAATGTTACAGTAGATTCCTATTTCAAATAAAGCTGTTCTTCTGAACTTTCTATTCATCTGTGAATCCTGAAAAATAAAACGTGTCACAGTTTCCACAAAAATATTGTGCAGCACGACTGTTTTCAGCATTGATAATAATCAGAAATGTTTCTCGAGCAGCAGATCAGCATATTATACTGATTTCTGAAGATCATGTGACACTGTTTTTACAGTATTTTTATCAAATAAATGCAGCCTTTGTGAGCAGAAGAGACTTAAAAACTTTTTTTTTTAATCATACTGACCCCAAACTTTTAAGGGAGTTAAACCTTGTAAGTAACTGGTTTTAAACTAGACATGTGGAAAATTATGCATTTTATAAATGACTATGATATATAAATATTTCACCAAATAAATATTATACATTTTTTATTAATTCAACATACAAGAGTTTGACAAAAATGTCTTGAAATTTATGATTGAATGCATGGTTATTATTATTAACTAAAACCATTTTCGTTACTTAAAATAAATTTTTTTAAATAATAATAATAATAATAATAATTCAACACATAAATATTTGGAGTTTGGCAAAAATTGTCTTGAAATTTATGATTGAATGCTTTTATTATTATTATTATTAAGTAAAAAATAAATAAATAAATAAAAACAACTTATTCGGCTTGTTTGCAAGCAAACATTTCTTATTTTTGTTTAGTGTGATTGAAGTATGAAAATAACTCAAACTAAAAATAAAATAAAATTAATTAATACTATATAGACATAATTAAAAAAACAAAACCTAATAAAAATGACAAAAAAAAGAAATGACTAAAAAAGAAAAATAAAGTTAAAGCGGAAACAGAAAACATAAAGATAAAATGTAATTAAAAATATTAACAAAATCTATAACTTGTAAAAATAACACTGTTGATATCATGCAACAGCTCTTCTTTGATGTTGACGGTGCTTTAAACATGATGCATGCAGAGATTTGATCATGCTGTCCAGCGGAAACAGAAACTGCGTCTCTAAATTCATCCTCTTGAAGATCAACGCTCTGCAAACACTCAAACATCAGCCGCGACTCTTTACACGTGAAGCACAAGCGCAGGTCGAGTGTGGCACACGAGTTGTGCTCAGAGTTCAAACTACTTCACATTCAACCCCAAGTTTTGCTGCTGCAATTTTGAAGCGCAGCCAATGATTGCAAGACAATTTGCACGACGTGTCATCATGTGCAAAATGGACGAGACTTTTGTTGTCTTTCACTATTTTCATTCTATCTTCTATTTTCCAACTTGCTAAGACTCTCAAGAATCCATAACTAAAACCATTTTCGTTACTTAAAATAAAATAAATGAATAAAAATTCTGCTTATCCGGCTTGTTGGCAAGCCAACATTTCTTATTTTTGTTTAGTGTAAATTGAAATACTTAAATTACTAAAAAAATTAAAAAATAATAATAATATAGACATTATTAAAAATATAAAAAACAATATATGTGTGTGTACTGTGTATATTTATTATGTATATATAAAGACACACACATATAGTATATTTTGAAAATATTCACATGTATATATTCATATTCATATAATTGTATAAATAAGACTCTCTAGAAGCTCAAAACACGTCCTTGATGCGATCCGCTCCGTCACAATCGTTTCTTTTATAACGCGTCACGGCCGCAGCAATAAAGCGTCTCCCCTGCACTCAAAAATCTCATAAAACCATAAAGTTTTATTACTCAATTAGAAATAAACACTTTAATTGGACTAATGCCGCCTGTAAAAGTGCAACATTAGGCAGCTCGTTAAAAAATAACGAGCTATAACGAATTTCGGATGACTCAAAGAGAGGAATCGCACGACATTCACTGATTCAATGGTTTAGAGGTGAGAGAGAGAGAGACAGAGACAGAGAGAGAGAGAGAGAGAGAGAGAGAGAGTGTGTGTGTGAGAGAGAGAGAGATTACTATTGTGTGTGAAATTACAGCAGAACTCACCAGAATCAGAGAGATCACCTTCCCTTCATCACCGTCCAGCAGAGGAATGATGAGCGCTGAGACAAAAAGAGATGAATCACTGCAACTTAAAGCAACTTTACTCATTCTCAGGCCGTCTAAGATGTAGGTGAATCTAACAGGAATAACACTGTTTTCAGCTGCTTACACACATTTTGAAAACTTTGCCTCTTGTTTTCAAAACTTTACACACAAATCCAAGAACTGCACACACTAAATGCAAAATGAAGCACTGCATTCAAAATATCACAAAAACACATCTGTAATATCACAAACATCACAAACACAAAAACTGTGAGCTGGAAACTTCATATAATGCAAGTCAATGGCTACCGTCACTTTGAGAGTCAAAAAAGCACATACAGGCAACACAACATTAAAACCTGTGGCTGCTGCTGATACACCGAAGCGATCGGTCTGTGCACGAAACTGAACATTATTTACAACACTTTAATCCAGAGCCTCAGGCAAACGGGGGAAATCTGATTCTTTTCTGCGAACCGATTCTTTCGGCCAGTTCTTTTCAATGAACTGGTTCAGTGACGTCATACGCAATTCTATTATTAAAGCACCCACAAATTGCAGATGTTTTACATGTCTAAAGCGTGTAAAGTGAATAAACTCGTCTTCATCAGCATCATTCAGTCCGATTTGATGAACTGATTCAACTGGTTCACTGAAAAGGACCGATTCAAAAGAATGATTCATTCACAAACTGAACCGTTTGCCTGAGGCTCTGGATTACAGTGTAGTAAATAATGTTCAGTTTCTTGCACAGACCGATCATTTCGCTTTATAATCTCAATATACAGTATCATGATCTCAGTATACATATATATATATATATTGAACTCAATATTTCACGAGGAGTCATGGGTATTAATTTTGTGTTGCCTGATATGCATTTTTAACTCTCAAAGTGCCGGTAGCCATTGACTTGCATTATATGAATCACCAAGGACCATAGTTTCAGCTAAAAATCTGCTCTATTTAAGAAAAAAACGTCACCTACATCTTGGATGATCTGACGATGAGTAAATTAACAGCAAATTGTCTTTTTGGGTGAACTGTCTCTTTAAAACAAACAAACAAATCTATATTTGATGTATATATTGATATACTATGTACAAATACATATTTATTTATTTATATATATGTAATGTGATGTGACCAAACAAATAATACAAATATATGTAAAAAAAAAAATAATAAAAGAATGAAATAAATTGTTCACACACACTCATGAACTCTGTCTCTCTCACACACTCGGTTTCTTTATGTTTGCTGTCTAAGATTCGGAAGGCTGTATTGTTACTCTGGTAAAAATAGTACTACATAGCGATAGTCACCATGGGAACAAGGAGAGAGAAAGCCAGAGCGAGAGGTAAACTAGGAAAATCTGATGAAAGTGGACTAAAAGTTCAGCGGTGTAAATGAACATTTCTCACTCTTTAAAACGTCTTTCATTATCACACTGTCTCTGTGCTTTTACACCACCGAGATAAATCAAGTCCTTTATACACACACACACACACACATCATGTATAGTATAGTATAGTACATGTATAGAATATTCTTTGGATATTGACTTTTTTATATATATATATTGGGAATGGGATAGAACTATATGTATTAGGAATAGCGTACATTTTGTTTCTGTGAATTGTTGGGACTTTCCATAGACTTCTATTACTTTTATACTGACCAAACAATATTTTCTATCCCCTAACCCTAAACCTACCCCTTACAGAAAACCTGTTTGCATTCTTACACTTTCAGATAAACATCATTTACTATTTTTAATGATTTTCTCCTTCAGAATGTCAAAAATTTCAGGTTTTACTATCCTTGTGGGGACATTTGGTCCCCACAATGTACCATAAACAAGAACACACACACACACACCTGTCTCTCTCTCTTTTTCTTTCTCTCTGTGTTGTTTGATCCTCACACACACAACAAATGTTCTAAACTAAGATACTTTCACATTTGGGTTTTATGTTCTCAATCTCTCTCTCTCTCTCTCTCTCTCTCTCTCTCTCTCACACACACACACACACACACACACTCTCACACTCACACACACACACACACACACACACACACACACACACTCTCACACTCACACTCACACACACACACTCTCTCACACACACTCTCACACACACTCTCTCACACCTCGTTTGTGGGCCGGCAGTGGTGTGCTCAGCGAGCCGCTCTGTTTCTGATGGAGTTCTGCTGACGGCAGGCCGGAGCACTGCAGTCTCTTCTGCTGCTTCACCGCGTCTCTGAAACACAGACATGAACAAACTCTGAGAAAACACTTCACACCAGTAAACAGAGCCGCGCATCAGCCGTGAAATCTGACTTTATTCATCTAAATGAATGAATATTTAATCACACAACAGCCCAGCATGAGTTACCATGTTAAATAAACACAAAAATCACACAAGCAGCCTGGATACGCCGCACTCTCACACTCACTTCTGCTCTTCTGCAGCATCTACAGCATTTCTGTGTGATCTACATACAAAACATATCACACCCTATCCCACAATGCAACGCTCTCAACTTGATCTTTCATTTCCAGTGCAACAAATGCACCAGCCACAATCAAACATTAAGACATTTACACACAAAACTATACATATATAGGATATAAAACGCAATTGAACGAAATATGCAGGAAAATAACCATTTTAGTAACAACATAATATTTTTATAGTCGCTAATCCCAGTCCTACCACTAAACCTAAACATAACTATTTCTGTACAGTATAAGAAAAACATGACAGACAGTTAAATGCAATTACAATCTTTAATTTATTGCAAAAATGTCAAAAGCAGTACCAAAAGTAATTCAAATGATGATGCGTAAAGGTTAAACGATTGCAGAAATGTTATTTATTTGAAGGTTTAAAGTGAAGTCGTGTTTAACATTACGTAGGCCTATTCTTGGAAACGAGCTGGCAGCAGAAATCACACAGAACAGAACGAAATGTTATAATTTCATATTAACTAAACGAGTAAACAATTTAATAATGCAATCGAAAACAAGGTAATTGACATGACAACTACAAACAACTAATAATAAAATTAATGCCGCGATTTCAATATTTAGGTGTCGTCAATACGTCAGTTCTGTACGTTTACATGATGAAAATACGTTCATTAGTGCCTGTAAAAACGTAAGTAAATGTACGTTTTATAGAACCACATTTTATGTAAAATACATATGAATTATCTTGCGATCACGTTGTGGAATCAGTGAATCTATTTGAATCAGCTCACTGAAATAAACGAATGTGACCTGAAACGCAGCGATGGAGTGTTTTTGTTGCTATTTTTATGCAGAAATGAGCGCAGAAATGCGCAGTTCACCAGTAGTTGACTCTGCTGTTAGCATCTCTGCAGGCCAGGGAATTGAAGAAAGAAAGAATCAGTAAAAGAGGCAAAGTTTGATCTGTTCCACTTTAAAAGGCTTTACAAAGAAACGCTGACGGTATCCCATCATGCACTGCTGCTTCACAGCCAGAGCCATTCAGCTGGAGAAAACCAATTTACACTCTGTCTGTGTGCATCTCTGTCTCTGGCCTCGACCTGAAGTTTGTGTGGAGAAGCTGAAGGTCCTGAAGCCTGATTACTGACCAGACGCTTCTGAGAGCTTTTTCACTCGTGGAGAGAGGAGAGAGAGATGCTGCTGCTTTTGTGGGCTTTCCTCCATCCGTTTGAAGTCCAATAAAGGTGTGTAACGTCTAATCTTACAATCAAAGCTCTCTGATTTCACATCAAACGAGACGGAGCCGCAGAACACGGAGACAAGACTCCTGAGAGACTGAACACACGCACAAACGCTGTGTTGCTTTGTGACAAATACAGTTTACTTCTGTTATGAAGAATGTGTTACATAAAATGAGAACTATAAAAAAAAAAAAGTAAATTAAATATGAATAAAAATGATTAATAATACTATTCAAAATAATTTTGCTAAATGACAGAAATGAATAAAATAAATTAAATATTAATATTAGATGAAAAAGTATTTAGAATTGTTCATTGAAATTATATATTATATATTAAATTGTATATGTTAAAATGAAATAAAATGTCAAAATATGTCAAAATAAAATATTGGATGCTTTTATCCATTATTTAAACACTTTAAAAGCAAATGAGAAATTATGCCTTGGCAACTAAGTGAAACACTAATTAGTATTTGGAAACTAATAACATCTCAAACTGAACTTAAACTGAAATACAGTATACTATGATACAGTAATATTCTTTAAAAAGTAATAAAAATTACAAAAGCAGAACACAAAAAAAAAGTGAATTAAAAACCTGAATATATATATATATATATATATATATATATATATAATTAATAATAAAAGTGTGTGTATGTGTGTAAAATACAATTAAAGAGTTTAATCACTCTTAAGTCACTCTAAGAACCTTAACATGAAAACACACACACACACACTTGGCCAAAGAGTAAATCTTTCTCCTTCAGTATTGAATAGTTTTGTACTGGACAGTGAACGGTGTGTGTGTGTGTGTGTGTTTGTGTGTGTGGGTGTGTGTGTGTGTGTGTGTGTGTGAGAGAGAGAGAGAGAGTGTGTGTGTGTG